GCTGTATGAATGATGGAGTATGAATGATGGTGTATGAATGATGGAGTATGAATGATGCTGTTCGAATGATGCTGTACGAATGATGGAGTATGAATGATGGAGTACGGAATGATGGAGTATGAATGATGGAGTATGAATGATGGAGTACGAATGATGCTGTTCGAATGATGGAGTATGAATGATGCTGTATGAATGATGGAGTATGAATGATGGAGTATGAATGATGGAGTATGAATGATGGAGTATGAATGATGGAGTATGAATGATGCTGTATGAATGATGCTGTACGAATGATGGTGTATGAATGATGGAGTACGAATGATGCTGTACGAATGATGGAGTATGAATGATGGAGTATGAATGATGCTGTATGAATGATGGAGTACGAATGATGCTGTACGAATGATGGAGTATGAATGATGGAGTACGGAATGATGGTGTACAAATGATGGAGTACGGAATGATGCTGTTCGAATGATGGAGTATGAATGATGGAGTACGGAATGATGGAGTATGAATGATGGAGTATGAATGATGGAGTACGGAATGATGGAGTATGAATGATGGAGTACAGAATGATGGAGTATGAATGATGGAGTACGGAATGATGGAGTATGAATGATGGAGTACGGAATGATGGAGTATGGGATGCTGTTGTTCGAATGATGGAGTACGGAATGATGGAGTATGAATGATGGAGTACGGAATGATGGAGTATGGGATGCTGTTGTTCGAATGATGGAGTACGGAATGATGGAGTACAGATGATGTTCAGGGATGATGATGTATGGTTAACGGTATATAGAATGATTGGAAATGATGGCATATGGAATGATGATGTACAGATAAGTGTATGGCTGACGTTGTGCAGGATGACAGGGTACAGATTTTGCACATGCTCAGATGATGATGTGTGGAATGAAGATGATGGCGTATTGATGACACCATTTGGAGCGACAGTGAAAGGATGATGGTCAATGGATGGCGGTGTACTAGACGATGGTATACAGGATGTTGTTGGCACAACTAACAAACTTCATGAAGCACATAAACCACCGGCGACATGGGTAAACAAACTGAACATTAAAATTCATAAAGATGTTTATTCATACACACCTGCCATAAACAGAGCAGCCCCTGTGCTGGACTGCAGCTGGACTCCAGTTTGTCTTTCTGTCCCCAAGCCAAAGAAAACGTCTAATTCAGGTCCGGCTAATGATCTCCACTAGGAACCAGATCCCACTTATAAATGCTTTCGCTTCTACCCAGCAGGTCTCAGCACAGTGCAGTAGGACACTAACAGGGCATTTCTCTAAAACGAGACATTTTTAATATACTTCCCTCTGGGCTTTCGAGTTTCCACTGTGAAGAGTATAAAACATGATAATAATGGGGAATATTTACATTTCATAGCAGCTCTTCAGCTTAAATACAGACATATGAAGCTCCCAGCAGACATTCAGGCATCATATACTTTACTTTTAATGTTAATAAGGACAGAATGGTTCAGTTGGCCAGGCAGCCTGTTAACATCAGCAAAAGAAAGTCAGTCCAGAAGCTTCTGATATTCACACTGGACCACACTGAGCATTATTTTAAAGGCTTTGGGCAGTTTTCCATTGCACAAAGCACTGGAACCTTTGGCACCAGAAAACTGGAACTGTTCTTTTTCCACTGGCCCTACATCCAGACCTGGAGGTTCCAGCTTTGTGGGTTTTGGCATCTGCTCAAGATTGGTACCAACAGGACCTAAAGGTACTCGAGGATGTTCTCCTCTGTCTTGAGTAACACTTTTAGCTGAAGCCGATAATTTACTGAATTCTTTACTCTTCCAGGTGAAGATCACAAATCACTACTGCATCACCACTAAGAGCACCAGGAAGTAAACGGTATGTTGGTATGTTGATGTGCCATTAATATTTTCAAAATTATTACCTTGTAATAAGTGTAGTTTTCGAAAGCCAGACAGACCCTGTGTGATGTTAGAGATCTTGTTCTTTGGTGACTCTCACTGTATGTTTGAATCGCCCATCAGTGTTCAGACAAAGCTACGATTTATAAACTCACACTGTACAAAAACACTCGATCCGACTGACATGATGCGACATGGGTGCTCAGACTGCACGTGTAGCGCAGCCCCTAAAGACGCTCTGTCTACAGACAATTTACAATAAAGCTGTTTTATTCAAAACAACACGCTGCGCCTCCGAGTTCCGAGTAAAAACACCGGCTGAATCTCAAACAGCTCCCTGCTCCCTACTTAGTGCACCACATACTAAAATAATGGCTCCTGCACCCAAACAATGCATCACATGTCTCATCAATAGCCTTTTGGGATTCAGCCATGTGTGCACAGTTCCATACTGGACAAACAGGGCACTATTTTTGGTGTAGAAGCCAGAACTACACTACATAGGAAGGAGGGGCCGTTTAAGATTCAGCTGTTGACAAACCGCTAAAGCAGCTTTGCTAACTTGTGCCACACTGTGCACTGAAGCTGGAGTAGAGGCGAACTACTGACAGACAGCTCTACGACAACAAAAAATTATCACATTTATTTATACCTCACAGTTCAACTCAGGCAAGCGACGGCCGATGAAGCTGAAAATCAGCCCGCATTAATGAAATTATATTGGCTACGACCAAATTGGGCTTAAAAATGGTCAAAACAACAACATCCAAAGAACTGCAGGCCTCACTTGCCTCAGTTAAGGTCAGTGTTCATGGCTCCACCATAAGAAAGAGACTGGGCAAAAATGGCCTGCATGGCAGAGTTCCAAGACGAAAACCACTGCTGAGCAAAAAGAACATAAAGGCTCGTCTCAGTTTTGCCAGAAAACATCTTGATGATCCTCAAGACCTTTGGGAGAACACTCTGTGGACTGACGAGACAAAAGTTGAACTTTTTGGAAGGTGTATGTCCCGTTACATCTGGCGTAGAAGTAACACAGCATTTCAGAAAAGGAACATCATACCAACAGTAAAACATGGTGGTAGTGTGATGGTCTGGGGCTGTTTTGCTGCTTCAGGACCTGGAAGACTTGCTGTGGTAAATGGAACCATGAATTCTGCTGTCTACCAAAACATCCTGAAGGAGAATGTCCGGCCATCAGTTCGTGACCTCAAGCTGAAGCGCACTTGGGTTCTGCAGCAGGACAATGATCCAAAACACACCAGCAAGTCCACCTCTGAATGGCTTAAGAAAAACAAAATTAAGACTTTGGAGTGGCCTAGTCAAAGTCCTGACCTGAATCCGATTGAGATGCTGTGGCACGACCTTAAAAAGGCGGTTTATGCTCTGAAACCCTCCAATGTGGCTGAATTACAACAATTCTGCAAAGATGATTCGGCCAAAACTCCTCCACAGCGCTGTAAAAGACTCATTGCTGCTAAGGTGGCCCAACCAGCTATCAGGTTTAGGGGGCAATCACTTTTTCACACAGGGCCCTGTAGGTTTGGATTTCTTTTTCCCTTCATAATAAAGACCTTCATTTATAAACTGCATTTTGTGTTTACTTGTGTTATCTTTGTCTAATATGTAAATTTGTTTGGTGATCTGAAAGTGTGACAAACATGCAAAAGAATAAGAAATCAGGAAGGGGGCAAACACTTTTTCACACCGCTGTATGCATGTTTCTGTATGAAATAGTAACATGTCCCTTATGTATTATATATATATGTAAGTATCTATATTATCTATATTCCTATGTATGAGTTACATATCTAAGGGCTTATATGTAATAATAACGTTCCCATACACCAAAACACCATGGCTGAGTCAGTGAGAAGAACAGGTGTGGTTCTAGATTTCTCCTGGACGCCTCCAGCCATCACATGGATTTATTAAATTCCATCAGCAGCGCCTGATTTAACACAGTGAAGTAGAAAATACTGGAAGACCCCTGAGGAGAGGTCTGATAGGCATAAAATCATGACTTATATTAATATATTTTGTATTTGTATCACAGATATTTTGTGAGATAATAAACACTGACTGCCCAGATGACATTTTTGTATTCTAATTTTCTCACGTGACAAAAACTTCTACATAATATGTCCTGCATGTATCATGTATTTACACTGCAATGGCAAACTGGTCCCTCCAGACTCTTTAAGTGCCTCAGGCCGTCTTTACCTTCCTCTACATCAGCTGGCCGTCCTGGAGCATAATGAGCTTCATCAGTCATAATTACTGTATGTCAGCTTTCTATTGCTGTGGTCTGCTGTCTGAAGCTGGAAGTAAGTTGGATTTTCAGAGTGTACTCAAAATGTCATAACTGTGCTGCCACTACTTTTTACAGGATTTACAGGATATTTATTTATAGAAGTGTTTTCTTTGTTCTTTAGTCATGAAATCTTACATCATGGTTCTGAGGTCTCACCACACGGAGCAAAAAATAAACTGTAACTGGTTCAGTATGTGGACCATCTTGAATGAGTCCCATTCGTTTCCCTTATTTCTCCATTCTATCCTATCACAATATGATAGTCTATCACAATACCTACATTTAGAGTCGGTTAGTCATTCAGCCTAATGAGAAACTGTAGAACAGACTCAGTTTATATCACAGTACCTACATTTAGAGTCGGTTATTCATTCAGCCTAATGAGAAACTGTAGAACAGACTCAGTTTATATCACAATACCTACATTTAGAGTCGGTTATTCATTCAGCCTAATGAGAAACTGTAGAACAGACTCAGTTTATACCACAATACCTACATTTAGAGTCGGTTATTCATTCAGCCTAATGAGAAACTGTAGAACAGACTCAGTTTATATCACAATACCTACATTTAGAGTCAGTTATTCATTCAGTCTAATGAGAAACTGTAGAACAGACTCAGTTTATATCACAATACCTACATTTAGAGTCAGTTATTCATTCGTTATTCATTATTGTTTTACAGTCAGAGTTTACCTGACCTGTCCAGCAGAGGACCCGTAAAGGTGGAGGCTGAGACACATTCACACTAAAAACAGCTGCACATTTCATACAAAGCTGTGAACTTTATTCCTTGGAGGAAAGTGAGGAATATAGTGTAAAACCTAAGAGCTATAAATATAAAAGTTCTTCTGATTGTGTTACAAATGCAGGAGAAACGTTCATACAGAGCTGTAATACAGACAGAACACCTCACTATCATGCAGACAGAGTTCAAACCGAGCGTTCGAGACTTTAAATCAGCTCCTCCAGTTCTCACTTCACAGTGTGATGTTCATCTCACACAGACTTCACGCGTCGAGCCCCTGGTCCGAACAAGTACAAGTGACATGATTGGGTGTTTTAAACTGAAATCAAAACGTACCAATCATGATTCATCATATCATTCGGTCATATGCAAAGGTTTACATATTCACACCCCGAGTTCAATAACAAACCATAGAATTTCTAATGAAAATGGTGTATTTTTTAGGTAAAAATTTGTTGTGCACTAGATACTATGTTGTGAGCAATAGAAAATATGTGGTAAGCACCTGATACTATCAGGTTTAGCAATACTATGTGGTACTATTAGATGAGCACCTGATACTATCAGATGAGCACCAGATACAATATAGTGAGCACCCAATACTATCAGGTGAGCACCAGATACTATGTGGTGAGCAAACAATACTATGTGGTGAACACCTAATACTATCAGGTGAGCACCCAATACTATGTGGTGAGCACCCAGTACTATTAGATGAGCCCCCCAATACTATCAGGTGAGCACCAGATACAATATAGTGAGCACCCAATACTATCAGGTGAGCACCAGATACTATGTGGTGAGCAAACGATACTATGTGGTGAACACCCAATGACTATCAGGTGAGCACCCAATACTATGTGGTAAGCACCCCGGTACTAGCAGGTGAGCACCCAATACTATCAGGTGAGCACCAGATACTATGGGGTGAGCAACCGATACTTTGTGGTGAGCCCCCAATAGTATGTGGTGAGCACCAGCTACTATGTGGTGAGCCCCTAATACTATGTGGTTGAGCACTTGATCTCAATCCATATTATCTTAATTTTTTGCACTAGTTTAAATTCAGTAAATAAACAGTAACTGTGTATTAAAATGAGCAGAGGCGTGTCTCTGTACAGGATGTGTAACTTATTCACACAATCAACAAATGGAATTTGACCATGGGGTGCCAAAACTTTTGCAAATGATTGTAAAAACACTAAATACTGATTTTCTGTAATCTTCTCTGTAAATGTAATGACTTTATCTCCACCTTTGCAGCATTTCCTGCTGTTTGATGATGTCACCATGCACAAGTGGGCAGGGTAAATTAATATAAACCAATAATATCATGTGCCCCCAACCACCACCCCACCCCCTACTCACTTCAGAAGGAAAATGCATTAAAATTTCAGATTCAAAGTTACATAAGATACATAAATTGGCTGCATTTAAACGTAGATTTTATTTAAGCTCATATAATAATTCAGTATCACATATTTTACTGGGCCATTAACCTGTTATTAGAAGCTCAGTGAACTCCATTTTAAGGCAGTCAGGTTCTGTATGAATGACTTTGTTTACATCTCAGCCACTGAATTATGCAGAGATTTTGGATTATCTGAGTAATTCTGATCACATTGTAGTGAAATCAGGACTGGAAAAGAGATGCATTATAAACAAAGGAAAATAGACCTGAACGGAGTTCAGAGGAGGAATATTAAATGACGGGAGAAATCGTTTCTGATTGGATTTGAATTTCAGATCTCTTCTCATTTTCAGTGAAAAAAAGGTGCTGTTGGACTGAATCTGTCTCCTGTTCGGTCTGTGTAAGAACTAAAGATGAATAAAGGCACTAAAGAACAAACCCTGTATCGCTGTGTGAAACAGAACGCAGCCAGGAATCCCTCCAGCTTCACTCCATGCTGCCTTGTTTCTTAGAAATCACTGAATTATGTTGCACATTGACAGTTCTTTGTCTTAAACCCGAGTGCGTTCCTTACTGTAGGAGTTCACACACATCATGTGGTCTGTTTGATGTCCATTCAAACAATACATCCCTCTAAAAAGGTCCAGAGCCTCTCGGACCAGATCGTCGGAACTCAGAAGTCTGTCCTAAGCAGATTATTCCGATCAGCAAAATCACCTCCAAAGATATAGTCCAGGAAAAAAACGCTGTCATATCAACCAAGACGTCCGTCATAAAACGAATGAGAAATGCTTTTAAATACAAATATATACTTACAAAATACCTCAGCAGTGTTTATTTACAAAATAGATAATCCACAAGGTCCATAAGACCCCAGAGAAAAGAATATTCCATACATCACACCGTCGTCTCTCCGTGTTTTCCGTTTGCGAGTCTCGTGTAGAACTTTCTCCATGAATTTAGTGTCTTTCCAGACCAGATCCAGAAGCCGGACGTTATTCCCACGATCAGAGTCATCAGGTACTTGATCATGAAGACGGTGAAGTCCGGGCTGACCTGTGGGTTGTGCGTGGGACACGGCACTGCGTACGTTTTGCATGATTGCCCGACCCACGTCTGCTCCCACTGTGGCCGGAAGGCCTGCTCGTAAAAGTAGCAGGCGATGACGATGGTGGCGGGGACGGTGTAGAGCACGCTAAAGACTCCGATCCGCACCATCAGCTTCTCCAGCTTCTCCGTCTTGGTGCCGTCGTGCTTCATGATGGTTCGGATGCGGAAGAGCGAGACGAAGCCAGCCAACAGGAACGACGTTCCGATGGATAGGTAGAGGAAGAGCGGCGCTAGCACGTATCCACGTAGGGCCTCCACGCTGTTAATGCCCACGAAACAGACGCCGCTCAAAACGTCGCCATCCACCTGCCCCACAGCTAAAATAGTGATGGTCTTGACAGCCGGCACTGCCCATGCCGCTAGATGGAAGTACTGGGAGTTGGCCTCGATCGCTTCATGACCCCATTTCATCCCGGCTGCCAGGAACCAGGTTAGCGCCAGGATCACCCACCAGATGGAGCTAGCCATGCTAAAGAAGTAGAGCATCATGAAGAGGATGGTGCAACCCTCTTTCTTGGTGCCCTGCACCACCGTCCGGAACTCATTGTCAAATTTCTCATTGCAGGCCACGACATCCTGCAGCAGGAATCCAGCCATGTAGGCCACGGACACCATGGTGTAGCATCCAGACAGGAAGACGATGGGACGCTCGGGGTAACTGAAGCGCTTCATGTCCACCAGGTATGTGAGCACAGTGAATAAGGTGGAAGCACAACAGAGCACTGACCAGATGCCAATCCACAGCCTGGCAAAGCTCCGCTCATCCTCGGTGAAGAACATGAGTCCATGTGGAAGCTTCGGCTCACAGGGGGCAGCGCAGTCCTCCTCACCCAGGAAGCGGTAGTTGAGGTAGGGAGGCACCCGGAGCACCGCAGGGCACTTGTAGCGCCTTCCGGAAGGCCGGTCGCGGGGTGACGGGGTGAGGGTGGTGGTGCCAGCGCTAGGGGTAGCACTGGAGCCTCGCTCGGATGCATTCTGACCCACACACAGCTCTCCAGAGCCATGCACAGGGAAAGATTCGCAGGCCAGGCTCTCAGGCCACTGGAAGCCGAACTTGTTCATGAGTGCCTCGCAGCCCAGCCGGGCACGCTGGCACAGTGCCCGGCAGGGCGGCAGCGCCTTCTCCAGCACTGTGCAGACAGGTGCGTAGACCGAGCAGAGGAAGAAGCGCAGTTCGGCCGAACACTGTACTTTCACCAGCGGGTAGAACTGATGCACCTCCAGTCCTGCGTCCTCCTGGTTGGTGTGCCCCAGCAGGTTGGGCATGATGGTCTCGTTGTACTGGATATCCGCACATAATGGGATGGAGATGGGCTGGCAGAAGCCATGCTCAGGCACTGAGAGCCCACGGTCACCATACTGCCCATGCACAGGCGCCAGCACCAGCAGAAGCAGTGCTGCGGGCAGTAAGGTCATGGCGCTCACTCTACTGCCCCCACTAATGCCCACTACTTCTGCCTTTTACTTCTTTTTACTGCTGCCCTAATACTCTTTATTACTACAATAATGCCCTTAACTGCCCTGTACTGCCTCCCTAACGCCCTTTACTGCCCACTACAGCTGCCCTAATGCCCTTTACTGCCCACTACAGCTGCACTAAAGCCCCTTATTTGCCATCAACAGCTACCCTAATGCCCTTTACTGTCCTCTACCGCCTCCCTAATGCCCTTTACTGCCCTCTAATACCTCCCTAATGCCCTTTACAGCTACCCTAATGCCCTTTACTGCCCTCTACAGCAACCCTAACGCCCTTTACAGCCTTCTAATGCATCCCTAATGCCCTTTTCTGCCTTATACTGCCTCCCTAATGCCTGTTACTACTACCATAATGCCCTTTACTGCCACCCAGTGGTCCTACCCGCCCACTAGGGCCACCCTAATGCCCTCTATGCCCCCTCATGCCCTTTACCTTCTAATTCCCCCCTTTAATTGCCCCAATGCCCTTTAATGCCCCCCCCCACTGTCATCTGCTGCCACTCTAATTATCTGTACTGCACTTTACTGCCTCATTACTACACCTATAATGCCCCCTAGTGCCCCTACTTTCCCATCTACTGCCCTCTATTGCTCCCCAATGCCCTCGACTACTCCCTACACCTACTTTCCCCTTTGCAGCCCCTTCACCTCAGACAGCAGACCTACTACCCCTACTGCCCCGTATTACCTGAGCCCCCCCACTAACCCTAGAAGTCCCTACTGCCCCCTCACCTCAGTCTGCCACTGCACTGCCTCCTCATTGTGCCTCTGTAGCCCTCAGCCTGCTACGGAACTGAATATGCGAGAAGATCCACGTTCCTCTTCAGATCTGGTGACTCTCTCTCTCTCTCTCTCTCTCTCTCTCTCTCGTGTTGAGGTTTCGGTGTCCACCCGTTTCTTCCTCTGGTTTGTCGGTCCTCTTTCCCTCTCTCTGGCTCTCTCTCTCTGTCTCTCTCCCTCTCTCCCTTTCTCTCTCTCTCTCTCTCTCTACAGGGGGGCGGGGTTAGTGGGCTGCTTTAGGGAGCATCAACATTTTACACACAGACTCAGTGCAGCACTCTGGATTTGGGTTAATCCTTTGTGTGTAACTGAAAGTAAAGGAGCCGTCCGGCAGTCCAATATTTATGTGCAATGTTGTCACTTGATACTTATTTTGCCTAAACAGTTTTTTTCATTTTTTGGTGAAATTTCCAAGTTCTGAGCTTCCAGGTCCAGATTTGAAACAGCTTTGCAAAGCTGCAAGAATAAAAACAATTCAAAGCACCACACCCTCGGGTTACCGTGAGAATCATGGCTGAGTGGCTCAAGGTGTTTTAGCTTTGTTTTGCTACAATAGTATGTTTATCATTTTTTCCTGCCTTGTTAAACACACTGTGAAAGCCAATGAGACAAACACACCAAAGGCATTTTTCAGCATATACTATACTAAGAATTATTCAGCATATACTAAGAACAATTCAGTATCTACTATCAATTATTCAGTCTCTATTCTGAATTTTCAGTATCTACTATAAATGATTAAGTATCTACTATGAAGTATTGAGAAACTACTATGAATTTTTACATAAATTATGAATTATTCAGTATCTACTATGAATTATTCAGCATCTACTCTGAATCATACAGTAACTAATATGAATTTTTTCAGTATCTAATATTAATTGTTTAGTATCTACTGTGAATTATTCAGTAACCACTATGAATGATTTAGTATGAATTATTGAACATCTTCTATAGATTATTGGTATCTACTATGAAATATTTGGTGTCCCCTGAATTATTAAGTATGAATCCAGTATCTACTACTAAATTAATGTGTACATTCTGTAGTTATGAGAATTGAAATGTGAACCCACACACAGACCCTTAAAGTTGCCTATGTTTCAAAACAGTAAATAAACTGTGTTACTGATTGTTATTGATTGAAATGTAAACTGTTTTAAAATAACACATTATGAGTGATGAATTATACATGGATTATTAATCAGAATATATGCTGTAACCCAGTAACTGCTTCATTTCTGTTCTGCACATGTGCAGTGGATATGAGAGTGAAGTCTGGTTTTCACAGATGGTCCCTAAAGCAGGGCTGACTGCGGCCTTCCTATTGGCTCCTGCTTACATCAGTCAGAGAGGGGGCGGGGCAGAGTGATCATCAGTGAGGGAGGACGGCCTCTAAGCTTCAGAGCTGCTGTTTATTCTGATTTTTAAATATCTATTTGCCTCACGCAGATCATAAACATGCAATCTAGAGCTAAAGTCTTAAACGGACAGTAAACAGGTTCCTCTGCCTAATGCTGTTCTGGATCGTCACATGACCCATCAGAGAGTTCCTGAACGTTCTCTCACTTCCCCAAACAAAGAAAACTACAGTTCAACCCAGCACAAATGAATGAATCCCTGAGTTCCTGAGTTCATCCTCTGTACACTCTTAAAAAAGATGGTTCTTCAAGGGTTCTTTAGTGAAGACAATGGTTCTTTGAGTGTTCATAGCTCACTTTTAAAGATATAGAATCAATTTTAAGAATCGTTTCACCACTGACAGAGAAAATGATTGTATTCAGCACCGAAAAGGGTTCTGCTATTGATACGTTCTCAAGCTTGTAACAACAGAAGAACCCTTTTGTGGTGCTACATAGAATCAACACGTTCACCATCAATCTGAAGAACCCTTTCACCATGCAAAGAACCATTTAAGCATGCAAATGGCTCTTTGAGCGTTTATGGTTCTATATAAAACCAGTCTTTACTAAAGAACCCCTGAAGAACCAATCTAAAGAATCATTTCACCATGGTTCTTCAGATTGATTGAGAATGTGTCATATATGGTTTTATATAGAACCAAAAAGAATGCTATTGATATGATGTCAAGCTTGTAACAATAGCAGAACCCTTCTTGGTGCTATATAGAACCCTTTTCAAAAAGGAGCTATATGGAACCATATATAACACATTCTCCGGCAATCTGAAGAACCGTTTCACCATGCAGAGAACACTTTAAGCATGCAAATAGTTGAGTGTTCATGGTTCGATATATGGTTCTTCTATAGGACCATTGTCTTTACTAAAGAACCCTTGAAGTACAAATCTGAAGAACCGTTTCACCATGGTAAACTGCTGGGTGAGGAATGATCTTCCAAACAGCAGCGGAAGAATGCAGCGTTCCGTTCAGGATGGGAGAATAATCCCTAAATTCCCGGTTGGAAATCTGTAATAACAGGTTTGGAGTCGTGATGTTCTGTAAGGCTGGAATTACAGCTTTAAAGAGCTTTTCATTCTCCCGAGTGGCTGCAGACTGAGCCGGGGTAGAACAAATCAGGGCAGATGATGAGCAGCTTTTAGAACACTGTAGGTTCTCCAGCACGACTGCAGCGTGGAACTTATTCTCTAAGAGCTACAGTGAGAATCTTCATTCACAAAGCAGTTCAAACAGATCAGCCTTCATCATAACACTCACACACTACAGAACACAGTTAAAAAGACGGCTCTTCAAGGGTTCCTTAGTAAAGCCAATGGTGCTGTTTAGAACCTTGAGTTCTACATAGAACCGTTCCATGCTTAAATGGTTCTTCAGCTTGATGCAGAATGTGTTGTGTGTTTTTTTTTAAATGGTTCTATATAGCACCAAAAAGCATTCTGCTACTGTATACAAGCTAGACATCCCAAAATAATTACCTAGAACACTGGAGTTTGTACACTACACTTACTCAGATAATATCTAGAACTTCTTTGGCATTCCAGCATAGTTTAGTTAAACTGTCTTGGGACTTACTGTCATGTTATCCAAAATAATTACCTAGAACACTGGAGTTTGCACACTTACTCAGTTAATATCTAAAACATGTTTGGGATTTCAGTGTAGTTCAGTTAAACAATCTTGGAACTTCTGTCCCCTTACGAACTTTGATTTTTTCCGTTACACTTATGTGCTTAATACAAAAAAATAATAATATATCAAATTAAATGAGAACCAATCTAGAATCTGTTTGGCAAATCTTAGTGTAGGGCAGTCAAACAGACTTGGAACTCACCATCATATCACCCAAAATATTTATCTAGAGCACTTGAGTTTTTACCTCACGCTGGTTCAGTTAATATCTAGAACCTGTGGCATTTCAGTGTAGTTCAGTTGAACTGTCTAACCCCAAATCACTACCAAGAACATTAGAGTTTGTACCTCACACTTACCTGGTTAACATGCAGAACCTAACTAAACAACTTCAGTTTTTCAAATTAAAAGCTGTTCACATTTCACGTAAAAATGTTCCACAGCGTTAGAACATTAAAAGTCCTGTATAGTAAAATTGTAAAATACTACAGAGCCCCTGAAGGGACATGGTGTAATTTTTTTAGGTAAAAATATGGTGCGCACCAGATAATATCAGGTGTAGCGGGTGCTCACTTGAGTAGTATCTGGTGCTCACCACATAGTATTGGGTGCTCACCCCATAGTGTCTGGTGCTCACCCCATAGTATCAGATGCTCACTTGATAGTATTGGGTGCTCATCACATAGTATCAGGTACTCACTTGATAGTATTGGGTGCTCACCACACAGTATTGGGTGCTCATCACATAGTATCAGGTACTCACTTGATAGTATTGGGTGCTCACCACACAGTATTGGGTGCTCATCACATAGTACCAGATGCTCACCACATAGTATTGGGTGCTCACCACACAGTATTGGGTGCTCATCACATAGTACCAGATGCTCACCACATAGTATTGGGTGCTCACCACACAGTATTGGGTGCTCATCACATAGTATCAGGTGCTCACTTAATAGTATTGGGTGCTCATCACATAGTATCAGGTACTCACTTGATAGTATTGGGTGCTCACCACACAGTATTGGGTGCTCATCACATAGTATCAGGTGCTCACTTGATAGTATTGGGTGCTCACCACACAGTATTGGGTGCTCACCACACAGTATTGGGTGCTCATCACATAGTATCAGGTGCTCACTTGATAGTATTGGGTGCTCATCACACAGTATTGGGTGCTCATCACACAGTATCAGGTGCTCATTTGATAGTATTGGGTGCTCACCACACAGTATTGGGTGCTCATCACATAGTATCAGGTGCTCACTTGATAGTATTGAGTGCTCACCACACAGTATTGGGTGCTCATCACATAGTATCAGGTGCTCACTTGATAGTATTGGGTGCTCACCACACAGTATTGGGTGCTCATCACACAGTATCAGGTGCTCACTTGATAGTACTGGGTGCTCACCACACAGTATTGGGTGCTCATCACACAGTATCAGGTGCTCACTTGATAGTATCCGGTGCACACCAGATTTGTACCTACAAAAATACCCCTGAGTAAAATACAGCGCACACAGCAGTAATGAAGACAGACAAACAGTGACGCATTAATAAACTTTATTTGTTTCAGGTAAAACAACAATAAACAACATTTACAGAAGGACATTACATGTTCCATAATAACATTACATACAAGTTATAACAAATAATGCAGTAACTATCCTACGTTTCTCAGAGTTTATAAAGTGACCTGTACCACTTCTATACTTTCAGACTGTTTGTCAAAATTCAGATTTTCAGTGCATCATACAAAAAAGAAAAATAGATATATGCGAGTGAAGCTATTTGAAACGGCGGCCGGAGCGGTCAGTCCAGCAGGATGCAGGCCGGACTGAGCCTTTTCCTAACGAGTATACAGTAATATGAGTTTATTAAGGGGACATTCCTGACCCTGGATGCAGATAGCTGAAGCGTCACTATTACAATTTACACTGTTACCCCTCGGTATGTACAGCCTAAGACACTTTATAACAAAAGATTACAAAAAGATTAAATATTCACATATGAATAGGACCGTCCTGTCCAGACTCCGCCCACAAACGTCTTCTCTCGTAGCTGCTGTTGTGAGGCTGGACAAGCTTTAGAGAACATTTAGCCTAATAAGAAACTGAATGAATAACTGACTCTAAATGTAGGTATTGTGATATAAACTGAGTCTGTTCTACAGTTTCTCATTAGGCTGAATGAATAACCGACTCTAAATGTAGGTATTGTGATATAAACCGAGTCTGTTCTACAGTTTCTCATTAGGCTGAATGAATAACCGACTCTAAATGTAGGTATTGTGATATAAACCGAGTCTGTTCTACAGTTTCTCATTAGGCTGAATGAATAACCGACTCTAAATGTAGGTATTGTGATATAAACTGAGTCTGTTCTACAGTTTCTCATTAGGCTGAATGAATAACCGACTCTAAATGTAGGTATTGTGATATAAACTGAGTCTGTTGTACAGTTTCTCATTAGGCTGAATGAATAACTGACTCTAAATGTAGGTATTGTGATATAAACCGAGTCTGTTCTACAGTTTCTCATTAGGCTGAATGAATAACTGACTCTAAATGTAGGTATTGTGATATAAACCGAGTCTGTTCTACAGTTTCTCATTAGGCTGAATGAATAACTGACTCTAAATGTAGGTATTGTGATATAAACTCAGTCTGTTCTACAGTTTCTCATTAGGCTGAATGAATAACCGACTCTAAATGTAGGTATTGTGATATAAACCGAGTCTGTTCTACAGTTTCTCATTAGGCTGAATGAATAACCGACTCTAAATGTAGGTATTGTGATATAAACCGAGTCTGTTCTACAGTTTCTCATTAGGCTGAATGAATAACCGACTCTAAATGTAGGTATTGTGATATAAACCGAGTCTGTTCTACAGTTTCTCATTAGGCTGAATGAATAACCGACTCTAAATGTAGGTATTGTGATATAAACCGAGTCTGTTCTACAGTTTCTCATTAGGCTGAATGAATTTTTACCGGCGCTCTGTGAAGCTCCAGCCTCACAACAGCAGCAACAAAGGGACACATCTGTGGGCGCAGCCTGGATAGGTTGATTACAGGGTAAATGTGGGACTGACCACAGGCCCTAAAGCCCCTCCCACAGCAGGCGGAGTTTCGTACACATTTATTTCTTTATTCAGATGTATTTCGTTCTTTATTCTGTGGTGATCATACAAACGTGATGCTGCCCTTCACTCTGCAGACGTCACAGTGCTGACGAGTCACTTTTCTCCCTTCAGATTCTTCATTCCTCACTTCCTCCCCGAGAAAAACACAGCAAACCCGCCTCAAACATCTCCACATTATTAGTGGAGTTATTAGTGCACTGAACAACCCCCAGTCAGGAACGCTCTCTTACACAGAAACAGTACAGAGCCTTTCATTGCTATGTTCATTATTACTGTATTACTCAAATGGATGAGAGGAAGCCAAAGCCACACACTGGAGTTATTCTCATTTACTGTCCCGTCGTGTGAAAAGAGACAGTAACAGCAGCGAATATGATCAAACCATCCACCGCACTGTTTAGCCACTCTGTTAGAATCAGTACCAGCGTTTTTGGGATCACTGTGGGCCACAAAATAAAAAAAATCCCCAAAAACCCATCAGCATTAATGAGGAAACTCAGTCTTTAACCCTCAGAAGTGTCAGTTAACACCAATGAAAAGAAAATCCTGCTGTAATTTAAGCTGAACTGTTTCTGACCCGCAGATCATTGAAACAGGCAGAGAAGCTGTGTGGAAAGAGCAGATTCTAAACTTTCAGTCCAGACCACATTAGTGTTCCTAGGTCAAATCGTTTATGATGTTGATTTAAAATTGGAAAATGCAGAAGCAAATCGGTTCTAATCTGTTACTAACAGGGCTGCCTAAACTTTTTAATGGCACAAATTTTTTTCCATGTCACTCTGATAGAAGCCGTGATTGTAGCTCTCGTTCAACTACAGCTTTTAAACGTCTTTTAAAGCTCAACCTTCAGCAGACGACGCTGGGCAGACACTCGCAGAAGAACTATGAATAGATCAACGAGCAGCAAACTAACAAAAGCAGCTTGGTGAAGCTCCAGTTCCCCTCGAGATCCTCCACTGGAACAAGAACCCACAAGCTAAATGAACGAGAGCGAGCGGCTATGATGTTTATTCCTTGCCAAAGTGCATTTTTGTGCATTTCTGCCTGCTGTGCCCTAACTTTTTAAACTTCAAACAATGGGACCGTATTACAGAACCAACTCTGAAATCTGATCTGTTTAGTCACCGTGACGACTGAATTTCGGACAGTAGCTATTACAGAATAACAGCTCCTACCTTCATAACCTCATCATGAACTCCAGATAAGAAAACAGCATCACACAAACATCCTAACTAGACTGAACCTCCTAAATCCTGTCCTAACTTTAGGATGAACCCCAACAGGGTCCTCACTTCTGTTTAAGGTCCGTTTCTATGGTTTTTAGGCAGCTGTGTCAGCAGCAGAGTTCACTACCAGCATAATGAGCTCCATTTATCTCTACTGTAAAACGCTGCTTTCACTGTGAGATGATTTTCTTTTCTAACTCTGCGTTTTAAAGATCTCAGACGCTGCAGACTCGATCTCCACCGCCCCTCTGATCACCTTCGTGTGTTAAGGTTGATGATGAAATATTACAGTGATGGTGGTGAATAATGAGGAGACGGAGCTGAACGTGTGTCTGTTTATTAGGAGGAGTAACGTTAGCGCGCTCGGCTAAAGCGTTTGGGAAACGGAGACTGAAACTGAGGAGCGGCGACGCTCTGATAAACAGCAGGGGGCGCTCTCACAGTATTCACAGCTCACAGTTTATCACACTTTAGTTCTGTTTGACCTTTTTTACATCAGTAACAGCAGCTTAACTCACATTTTAACATTATTCTGATGACGTGTTTACATTTCAGCTGTGTGTTTATGATCGGTTGCTAGTCTAATCCTAGACATGACAGTTGATTGTCGACTTTGATTGAGTAAGTTAAGATTCCCTAACTGGAGATAAGATTCCTAAATTAAGGTCAGATTTGATTCTGTAATACAAGTTGGGAAAATCTCATCTTGACCCTTCAGATCTAAAGACAAAGAGAGGATGTTTCTGTAATATGGCTCCTGGACATTGTTTTTACAGTGTAGTAGTTACAAAACAGCGTACCGACGGTGATAACTGTAGACTTGTAAGGGTTAAAGTGACCATCAGTCTGTCCCCCTCTGGTCAGATAGCACCAGCGTAAGTGTATTGCCTGTATTCAACAAACACACTTAAACACACATATAGATGAACACCGAGACAGCTGCACTACCGCAACTATTAACGCTGTGAGTGTGTCATTGCTTTAGTTCTGTCCCTGCAGTAGGTGTGTATGAACAATCAGACCTCAGCATCATCATCGTCATCGTCCTCCTCAGTTCTCTTACGTGTGACTTATACTTCCGTGAAGATGCGTATCTGCGCCGGTGTTAGTAAAACATAACGCGCTACAGTAGCTGTCATTCATTCTTCCTCTTCTGAAGCAATCATAACAAAATCATAACTTTCCTCTATATAGATTAAACACGTCGGTCTTTGTATGTACACAATCTGTCCGATCATCTAATCACGCTGACATGAAAGCGATGGAGTAAGATCTCCGTGCTGAAGAACAGAAGCTCAGCTAAACAGAGCAGAGTCCATTCCTGTTCCCTAACAGCTCTGTAGCGTTTACACCTTAATCATTAAAGCCCTGTTGGAGCTGGATTAGTATTATCTGGGGAGGCGCTGTTATCTGAGTGATTACCGACGAGGTCCGTCATTTTAATCCAGTATGAAACTCCGGAGTGAAGTACCTTCTACAATTCTCCAAACCCAGAGCTCCTCAATAACAGCAGTCCTGGTCCGATCCACATCTCAGTAATGTAATAACAAAACCGGCTAATGGAAAACAGATGAGGCTGAAGTCGACTTCCTATCGTTGGGATTTTCCCGTTCCACCTTAAATCGTGCACTCGTTACTGCCGCTTCTCTTTATTTTCTTTTTTTGTGACCTGCAGACGAGGCTAACCGCTAAAAATGGAGCTCGATTTGACCCTTAATTCTCAAATTAATGACAAGACTGAAATCCACAACGTTTTCAGTAATGGCTGAATTGCAAAGAGAGGGAAAATGAAATATCTTGGAAGCTCCTCTCGCAATGCAGCGTGTTTTCTGTCTGTTGGGTTGCATTTGCTGAGTTGAATGTACCCACATTACTAGCCTAATGCTAGCCCATTTGGTGTAACTTAACAGAGATCCTGTATCCCGTATGAATCGACCAGTCAAATCACCCACAGATTTCAATATCGGACCTCCATTGAAACTAATCCAGCTCAAATAGGGCTTAAGGCTTTATTTCAGCCGTTTTTGGACTGTTTCTACTCAAACAGCATCAGCTGATGATTGTAATCAGCAGAATTGACTGTGTGCTGTTTAAAGAGCTTTCAAATGCTGTTTACTCTTTGATTGTAAACAAAGTACTAAAAGGACTGTTGGGTGGATGTAATATTGCGATACTTCTTCATGATATATGATGTCACAGTATTTATTTTTTCACACGTCTGATTAGTTGGAACAGAGATAAACGGCTACATTTTTAAAAATGCTATCAAATGATTTTAAATCAGTATTTGTCATATTGTGTTGCACTAAATCCAGTTAAACTGGACTAATTTCACTCTCTTTATAATGAATCATGCAGTCGGTCAGTGTCTACAAGCACTGACGATACACACAATATGTTCAGAAAAGCATATTGTGACATAATATCACAATAACGATATATAATGTCATATTGCCCAGCCTTACTTTTGGGTTTGTACAGCTAGTACAGATGAGTTTGTGTTTTAGAGAGAAGCTCAGAAGTAATTATTACTGTTAGTGAGGTTATTTTGTCCAAGGAAGTAATCAGTGAAGTAATCCCATTACAGTCGAGAAGTAATCAGTAATTTGTATTGGATTACTGTTTTTGAGTAGCCACACCAACACTGGTTAGCTTAGCTCACAATGAGAGGCCAAAATCTCAACCGTATGTACATCTTTGTTTATACGATCTTCAAAATATTACAGTCTTAATTCTTGAAAAAAACGTGAGACTTTCCTCTTTGTTTTCCGTATATTCTGGTTTTGAACAGTGACCCCTAGTGGACGCTGGCAGACACCCGTGAGAACCACATGACAGCTAGACACGTTCACAGATACGCAGATGCAGAAGTATAAAATCAGCGTTTACTGTTATTAATATAAAAAGAATTTTATTTATTATTATTATTATTATTATTACTGAATGTTTGATCTGAGTACTGTCTGTTGGTAACTGGAAAAAAAGTTTGATTTGTCTTTTACGAGTTTATAAACATCATCAGACTCCTGTGAGTGGAGGGGGGGGGTGTTTTGTGTCCATTCCAGCACACCGTACATTCGTCCACAGGCAGCTACATACACAGACTGGACGTGTGTGTAGTCCTTCAGTGTCGTTATTGATGGTGTGTAAACATCGCAGAACTTCTCTAATAAAATCAATGAAAGTGAATCTGCTGAACGCGACGCTCTGCTCTAACTCACTCACTCACACAGTCACATCAGCTCAGACGTCAATCTGTTAATGGAGCGTATGAGGAGCCTCCCTCCTCCTCCTCCTCTTCATCCTCCTCTTCATCCCGACAGACCACCAGCAGCAACCTGAAACACAAAACAACAGGCAACGTCAACCTTACTGAGAGTAGAGAGGGAAAGAGAGAGGAAAGGAGGATCGGAGAAAAAGAGACGAAAAGAGAGAAAACAAGGTAAGGGAGGAGTAGGCAAAAATAAAACAAGACGAAAGAATAAAGGAGAGGAGAGAAAAAGAAAAGAGAAGAAAAGGAAACGAAAGACAGGAGAGGAAAAAGAAGAGGAGAGAAGAGTGGAGAGAAACAAAGAGAAGAGAGTAGAAAAGAAAAGAAAAGAAAAGAAAAGAAAAGAAAAGAAAAGGGAAAAGAAGAGAAGAGATAAAAAAGAAGTATAGAGAATAGAAGGAGAGAAGAGGAGAGAAGAGTGGAGAGAAACAAAGAGAAGAGAAGAGAAGAGAAGAGAAGAGAAGAGAAGAGAAAAGAAAAGAAGAGAAGAGATAAAAAAGAAGTATAGAGAATAGAAGGAGAGAAGAGGAGAGAAGAGTGGAGAGAAACAAAGAGAAGAGAAAAGAAAAGAAGAGAAGAGAAGAGATAAAAAAGAAGTATAGAGAATAGAAGGAGAGAAGAGAAGAGAAGAGAAGAGAAAAGAAGAGAAGAGATAAAAAAGAAGTATAGAGAATAGAAGGAGAGAAGAGGAGAGAAGAGAAGAGAAGAGAAGAGAAAAGAAGAGAAGAGAAGAGATAAAAAAGAAGTATAGAGAATAGAAGGAGAGAAGAGGAGAGAAGAGAAGAGAAAAGAAGAGAAGAGAAGAGATAAAGAAAAGAAGAGTATAGAGAATAGAAAGAAGAGAGAAGAGGAGAGAAGAGAAGAGAAGAGAAGAGAAAAGAAGAGAAGAGAAGAGATAAAAAAGAAGTATAGAGAATAGAAGGAGAGAAGAGGAGAGAAAGCTGAAAAAGCAGTCCATAGTAACTGCACAGTAACAAGGAGCTGACGGAATGGCAGCAGATTTTATGACACATTATTTGAATCATTTCTTTATATCTGTTGATTTATTATTCACTCTATTAGTTTATTTGTTTCTTATAAAATACTTTCTCTTGGGGTAAAAATAGCATTGCTTAAAAAAGTGCACTGCTGTTTTGAGAGTGTGATACAAGTGTACAGAGAAAACGTCTTCAACTATGGTGATTTTGTTTATCTCCTAAATCTCCTCCTCCTGCTGACCAGTCCTGCTCTGATACATAATGCATGCGTCCCTCTGTGTCCTTCCTCTGCGGCTCTTACAAATCAGCTCCCAGTGGAGAGAGTGATGGAGCGCGTGCCAGGAATATCATATCAGCAGCACACAGAGAGAGAGAGAGAGAGGGGGAGAGAGGGAGAGAGGGAGAGAGAGAGACAAAGAGAGAGAGAGAGAGAGAGAGAGAGAGAGAGAGAGAGAGAGAGAGAGAGAGGTAAAGCGTGTGTGTAAACAGCTCTGCAGTTTGGAGAGCAGATACTCAAACAAAACATTAAAAATCATTTCATTTCTGGTTTATTGTGAACGTCCCGGCTGTTGGAACTTTTCCTCTTGTTTATTTTTGCTCAATGGCCCAACTATTCCAGCAAAAAGTTCAATCCGTATGCTTGTTGCCCTGGCAACTGTCCCCAAGGTGCCTTTCTAAAGCACACTGGGGCTCCCATCCAACACCATACATATCTTTCCAGCACCATTCAATACCATTCAGCATCACACACTTTTTAACCCCATCCGGCATCATCTAACAACATCCAGCACTACCCAACAACGTTTAACACCATCCAGCAATCTCCAACACCATACAAGACCACCAAGCACCACCCAACACCATCCAGCACCATACCACCATGAGGCATCATCATGACAATCCAACTATATTCAACACCATCCAGTAACACTCAACACCATCAAGCAACACACCATCAAACACCATCCAGCACTACCAAAACCATGCAGCAACACTCACTGCATCCAACACCAACACCGTCCAGCAACATTTAACATCCAACACCATCCAACACCATCAACACTGTCCAGCAACACTTAACAGCATCCAACACCAACACCATCCAGCAACACTCACTGCAATGCAACACCATCAACACCATCCAGCAACACTTAACAATATCCAACACCATCCAGCAACACTAACACCATCCAACACCATCAACACTGTCCAGCAACACTTAACAGCATCCGACACCAACACCATCCAGCAACACTCACTGCAATGCAACACCATCAACACCATCCAGCAACACTTAACAATATCCAACACCATCCAGCAACACTAACACCATCCAACACCATCAACACTGTCCAGCAACACTTAACAGCATCCAACACCAACACCATCCAGCAACACCCCACAACATCCAACACCATCAACACCATCCAGCAACACTCACTGCAATGCAACACCATCAACACCATCCAGCAACACTCAACAATATCCAACACCATCCAGCAACACTAACACCATCCAACACCATCAACACCATCGAGCACCACTTACCACCATCCGGACCACTCACCACCATCCAGCACCATCAACACTCATCACCATCAAGCACCATCAAGCACCATCCAACACCATCCCAAAGCAGCTTGCAACACCATCTAAGCGTTGGCCCTGTCGTCAGGAGGTCACAAGTTCAATCCCCAGCAATACCACAGTCATCAATGGCTGTCCTCTCTCTCCTGGGTTGGTAGGGTGGTCCTTCCCCTCCCCCAACAAATCAGAGTGATGCTAGCCAACACAGCCATCCGTTGCCTAATGTAACAGAATAAAGAAATCGCAGTGTGTTGAGGAGGTTCGGGCTAGCCTTCACCTCCCAGCTTAGTAGCATCATCTGACAGAGGGAGAGCTGGGTAATGGGTAGAACTGGACACGACTGAATTTGGGAAAAATTTGGTAGAATAAAAATAGAAAAAAGCAGCCAAGGATCCTTCTGTTATCCTCCTCTGAGCCAGACCAGATCGCAAAATTAAAATAAACAAATGAGCGTTACGAGAATCATAATCAAAGAAATTAGATTACACATTAAACAGACGCAGCCGGATAAAGAGAAATTCAGAAATGAGACCTGCGAAGTAAACCAGTGAGAAGTTCTCTCAGAGGATCAGAGATGGATCTGGATCACTAAGCATTCCGAATATTCACTACGGGAATATTTAAGAACCCAGTATAGTGCATAATATCTAGAACAGATTATGTACTGCTGGATACACGGACACGTTTGAGAGAACACACACTGAGAGCACAGCCTATCAACACCACTGGGCAGCTCCCACAATCCTCCAGTGTGCAGACCGGCTCCTTCAGGTTGTGACCTTCGACCTTCCTCTGTGCTGAAGCCTCATCACGTCTTGAAGCGTGTAATGCAGCGAGTCAGTCGGCCTTTAAACCGCTCACAGCCCCTCAGCCTCCACTGCCTCAGCCTCAGCAAGGCCTTTTATGAAATGTGCACGCAGAAACGAATGGCTGGGCCTGGATCAGCTTCAGAATAAAGAGCGATTATTTTGCGTTTTTGTAATTAAATTGACATCCTTTAGGATTTTTACTGCGGTCTGAAGTTTAAAGCCAGCAGAACCCACACTGCCTTGTTGCGTTGCCATAGTTACCCAGGACTGCTGTTTATAACCAAACATTTCGGCTTCAATCAATTGAAATGGCTTCACAACAGTGTGCTGGCTGTGCTGTGTTTGCCAAGAGCGTCTCTGTTTAAAAACCAACTCTCTGAACCTTCTTTAGGAATGTTTAGACTGAGCTCCAGATACATAAAGTCTCAACAATTTTTTTTTCCACATGGTAACAAGGAAAAACTTTAGCTTAAATGCAGGGACACGTTGCTAGAAAGTGATGCCGACAGTGACGTCCTGCAAAACCATTCTTTTTCCATTAAAATGTTCTGGATATTTTATATGAAACAGAATATCTCAATGTGCTACAATGTAGTGAGAGATGACAATATGCTTGTATAACTGACACATCAAATGACCAAAGCACTCCTTTTGGATGAACCCGATGCAAATGAGCCGAGAGGCAACCAATGAGTTTATCAATATGTGGGGCATTAACCAACTGAGTCTCTCCCAGAGTCGAGCTCACATATTAAACAGCTGACCCCATTAAACTTAAAGCATCCTTCTAGCACCTTTCAACACCGCTTAACATCCTTTAACACCATCCAGCACTCTCTAACACCAACCAGCACCATCCAGTGCCACCCAGTAGCATCCCACACCATTCAACATATCCAGCACCATCCAGTGCCACCCAGCACCATCCAACATTGTTTAACACCATCCAGCACCACCCAACACCATTCAGCATGTCAAGCACCATCCAAGACCACCCAGCACCATCCAACATTGTTCAACACCATCCAGCACCATCCAGCTCCATTCAGCATGTCAAGCACCATCCAACATTGTTCAACACCATCCAGCACCATCCAGCTCCATTCAACATCAACATCATCCAACATCCAGCACAAACTAACACCATTCAGCTTATCCAGCACCATCCAGCACTATCCAAAATCATTTAATGCCAACACAACAATCCAGCACTCCATCCTGCACCAACCAGCATCATCTAACACCTTCCAAATGCAGCCAACACCATCCATAAGCACATTATCCAGCACCACTCAACATCATCCTTCATCATCCAGCTTCACACTGTTCAGCATCCAGTATCATCTCTCTCCACAGCTCACATCACCTAATAAAAACAAGGTCAAAACACAACAGTGGACAGAGATATACATCAAGCTCTAATACGACAAGATGAGAACGGTCATTTCATTACAATGAAGCCGATCATATATCCATACTGAGAAAGCGAGCGTGGATGAGGGTCTCAGGATGAAGACATCACCATGGTAAGCCTAATCTCTCAGGATAAAACTGGGCTTTTCAGGAAAACGGAAGAGGAAGAAGAAGCCTGGGATTTTATAAAAGCCTTTCCATTTAGTTCTGCAACCAAAAGGAAGAGATAAAGAGGAGAAAAGCACCATTCGCTGCTTTCAAAGATTCAATTTTAGAAATTT